CTGATTTTTTCTGGGCAGTGTTTTTGTTTTTCAGAATATAAGTAGCGTTCTTGTGTTTTTATCGTAGTCATACTGTAGTTTGTTTGTGAAAAGTTTTATTTTAACTTGTGAAAATATTTACAATGAAAAACTACATTTTGACCTTTGTCATCTTATGAATCACATTGGTGAAGCTTAAATCCTTCTAAGAGATAATAAGGAGTTAATAATTGTGGGAAATGGAAGAAGTGTTTCATACTAAAAGACTTACTATGACACCTTGTGAACCTGCAACCCAAGTTTATTACTTCCAAACGTTTTCGGTCATGTTAATTGACCTTTCTCAAGAAAAAAAAAAATGTTTTTTCTTTTTCTTGAGAAAGGTCATTTAACATGACCAAAAACGTTTGGAAGTAATAAACTTGGGCTGCACGTTCACAAGGTGTCATAGTAAGTCTTTTAGTATAAATAATATGTAGTCTCGAACGAATTGAAGTGTTTCATTTTCCCATTAAAAATAAACAAATGCCAGTAAGTGAAATAGACTGATATGTAGGAAACTGCCCCATACAAATTGTGCACTATATCCATCATTCTAGATAACAAATATATATTAACACGAACTAAACCTTTTGTAGACAATAGAGAGGTTGCGGCCGACGTTCAAACGTTACTTCTAGACAGCAAGCAGAAGTATACGTTTTACGTTTTAAGCTTCATTCATATCTACAGACACCGTACGTGGCAGACACGTAACAGCACAGACATAAAAATATTATTACATACATTTTCTATGGGCGTATTTACATATACCGCGCGTGAGCGGATCGTGTCCGCACAGACACGGGCCGGCACCGGCCGGCATTGTCTGCGAGAACGTTTTGTCTGTGCCGGCGCGTGTCTGTACATGTCTGTGGGAGTCGGCGCGGTTAGTATGAACGCCATCGTCGACACGCACAGACATTGCTTGTTTAAAATGATGAATCAAGAGAAATTAATTGAATTAGTTCGGGAATATACATTTCTTTATGATTTAAGTGATCGCAGGTACAGTGACAATCAACGAAAAGATGACGCGTGGAAAGAAATAGCAAAAAAACTTCAAGTAAGAGGTAAATAGAAATGTATTTAAGAAAAAACATTATTATTGTTTACATTGCTCCTGCAGGTGAATCAAAAAACAGAGCAAGTTTGTTTCTGACATCAAAAGCGGTAGATTGACTACTTCCGCCTTGTCTTGGTAAGCCTTTCAAATTACTAACTGCTGTATTTTCTCTGGCATGGGCGTTGTTATATTTTATAAAGTTGTGCAGAATACATGTAGTCATAATTACTTTGTCTGCATTTTCGGGTTTGAGTTGGATTCTTCTATTGTATAAACGAAACTTTTGTGCCAATTGTCCAAAAGTATTTTCTACTACCTTTCTTGCACGTGACAATCTGTCATTGAAATTTCTTTTGCACTGCACATGTGTTTGCGGCTGTGGGTAAGGTCGCATTAAATATGTTTTTAGAGGAAACGCTTCATCTCCTATAATGACATGCGGCATTAGTATTTCAGTGCCAGGTAGATATTTTTCTTCTGGTACATTTAAAGTATTTGCCG